TATTTTCTAAATATTATTAGAAATATTTTCTATAGAAATATACAAGATTATTATTATCCCAAATTTTAATCTTTATATTTTATACTACTATAATCTTTACTAGCATAAAGATTGTGGTAGACTCTGGCGTTGTTCGTGTGTCAAAGTTGGAGACCGGACGCTTGAACGGTTACGTTTGCACTTTCAACGCTCTTCCTACAACTTCTTTGTTTTTACCGCTTACGGAGAAAGGTATAAATTTCTTACTACTATATGTTTTAGTACGTGATTCTGGGCAAGATAATCATGTTAGGATGTTAAAAAATTTTATATTCCGCTGCCTATCCTTGCATGGTTACCTTTCATCAACATATTCCGCTTCGGTTGTGGATAACACAACACTGACTTGCTTCTTGCTAAACCATGAGACTAAAGAACTATCAAGCAAGTGACATGTCCCACTCGTACTTTTATGGTCTAACCCACAACCGGCAAAGTCCGAGTCGGAATAGCCAAAAAGAAGACAAGGAGACCCTTTGGGGTACCATAGTCCAACGTTCATTGTTCCAACAAGATATTTCATTATCCGTTTCACCGCTGTTAAGTGCGATTCTTTCGGCCAAGATTGATACCTTGCACATAAACAAACGCTAAACATGATATCGGGTCTACTAGCGGTAAGATAAAGAAGGGATCCGATCATACCTCGATACTTCTTTACGTCTACTTCCTTACCCTTTTCATCTTTGTCCAGGTGCTCGGAGGTGCCCATTGGGGTAGCCATTGCTTTGGACCCATCCATTTCAAATCTCTTTTGAAGCTCCTTGCAATACTTTGATTGTCAAATGAAGGTCCCTTCCCTCATTTGTTTGACTTGTAACCCCAAGAAGAAATTGAGTTCCACCATCATGGACATCTCAAATTCATTTGTCATTAAGTTTGAAAATTCCTTGCATAAAGATTCATTAGTAGCACCGAATATAATGTCATCTACGTAAACTTGCACCAAGAGGATGTTATCGTTTTTACTCTTGATAAAAAGTGTAGTATCAACCTTCCCCCTTTTGAACCCGTTGTCCAAAAGAAATTTGCTCAAACGCTCATACCAAGCACGAGGTGCTTGTTTAAGATCGTAGAGTGCTTTCTTTAGTTTATAGACATACTCCGGGTGCTCAAAATCCTCAAAGCCCGGGGGTTGATCAACATACACTTCCTCTTGAATAAAACCATTGAGGTAGGCACTCTTAACATCCATTTGGTATAGCTTAAAATCCATAGATGAAGCAAAAGCGAGTAATAAGTGAATAGCTTCTAAACATGCTACTGGTGCATAAGTTTCTTCAAAATCAATGCCTTCTTCTTGATTGTAGCCTTTAGCTACGAGCCTAGCTTTGTTTCTAGTGATTATACCATTTTCATCGAGTTTGTTACGGAACACCCATTTCGTACCAATTATGGTGTGATCATCGGGTCTTGGCACCAATTCCCAAACGTCATTTCGTTTGAATTGGTTAAGCTCCTCTTGCATTGCCAAGGTCCAATGTTCATCATCAATTGCTTCCGAAATGGTTGTAGGTTCAATTTGAGAGACAAAAGCCATGTGACCTAC